CATACACATATATTATAAAAACGTAACTATTTTTTGCACTTTTGTATTTCGCATGTTAAAGCTTTAATTATTATAGGTGATATTTTTATTAATATTATTTTTTCTTTTTTTTTTTTTTTTAATTTTTTAATACTAATATATTTTCAAATTCATTAGTGTTAGTATAATAATTCATTCAACAATGTACTTTTGACATTCATAAATTCATATATCAAGTAGCTCAATCTACCTGAAAATAAAATACTTATTGGATAAAAAATAAATACGTATATACATATATAAAATAAATAGAATAGCAGAATATACGTGCCCTATTCATTTATCTTTTGTTTATGCGTTGAATAATTAATACATGTATATTTATAGACACTTCCTCATAATATTGCGTATACGCAGAGTATACATTTATTTTTCATTATCGAATTTTAGAATTTTTAGTGTGAAAATATTAATTGCGACATGTTGGACGAGCTATTTAAACACATTTGTATGCCCAAATCAGTTTGTCATGCTAGACTGCAGTTTGCAGTTAGATATCATGGTATTTTGTGTGTCGGAAGCTCGTCGTTAATGGATCGAATTAAGAGAATAAATGAAATGTTACCAAGCGCTGACCAATCGATATATTTCTATATTTGAACTGTGGCAAAGCTAACGTTATTTTGGTGAACATCTCATGTCTCGGACTGAACCAGCTAAGAACTAAGCTAAAATATGAAGCTGTATCAGCTGACGTTGGTCATTATTTTAATGATCCCGGCCAGCCAGTGTAAATGCCCCAATGGCAAGCAGTGGAACAGCATGGCCATGAAATGTATTAAATATTATTTGGGCGCATAATCACGCAGTGGTCACCCTCCACCACACGATGACAATGATAATAAAAAGTAATAAACACAAAAAACACATTTATATAACTGTATGAAAAAGGTGCGAGTGGACTATTAGCAGAATGACAACTAATTTCTGGGTTAAGCCACACAACAAAGCAGCAGAGCACAACTCTCATTTATAACATTTAAAGACAAAAAACAGGAACACAGAGGAAAAACAAACATCAACGCTGCGAGCGAAGGGCCACAAAATGGAATGGACAACATGAAAAATTAAATGGCATTTTGTGAAGCCAGCCGAATGCCAACGAGTTTTCTTCTTTTCATATAATTTACCAAAGCATGTCCTTGTCAGCTCTGTCAGCCATCTTACGGTAAGAATGTTGCCAACTTGTCAGCTCGCCGCATCCGATGGCCTTGTCCTTACGGTTAATCCTTTGTCAGCGACACTCAGGCGTTCAATATGCCGTCGACTTGCCGGTCAACTCCAATAAATATAAATGGTGCGTTTTTAGGACCCGCACGGCTTGTAGTGTCATGCCCTAAAAGTAGTCAAAATAAAAGAGAATGTTTTCAATTTTTGAGCTCAGTACTCCATACATATTTTTTCAAAATGGAACGAGAGCATTGCTGACCGAAGCTGTGATTACTGACAGCATAAATAATGTTTGTCTCTTGGCCTGCAAAAAAAGCCAAATAACAGAAAAGGATAGTTCTGTGGAATGTTACGAATATGTATAAAAAGTAAATCTTTTTTCTTTTGTACAGAAATATGTTCGCTTATAAAATAAATATATATACATTATATAAATGTGTGATATGAAAATATGTTCGTTTATTGCCCAGGCCCTGCACGAATTTGTCAAAATTGCGTTGCTATCGATTTTGGGCATCGATTCACTCTCTCTGCCCCATCTCTCTGCCCTATCTATAACCATATTGTTGTTTTGTGTTGGCTTCAAAGATAAATATTAATAAACAACAAAATATATGCGAGCAACACAAACACATGCACAAGCGCACACACTCTTCCTGTTGCTGTCAAACATGCAGCAATAAAATCGTACAACATCACGTATACGCAATCAATTGCTAATGGCCATCGCAGACATTTGGCGCAACGGTTTCAGTTGATGCATATTAGTTTTATTATTATTATTATCTGAATATTTGCGCCATGGGTGAGTTAAATAATAAATTGTGAAGCGCTAATTACAGACAGCTGCTGAATATTTGCCCATTGACCCGAGGCTGTGTGGGCTCGAAAATTTATAAAAGTGGGCGGTGCTGGCTGGGTGGTTGGTGGTTACCTGTGTAGTCGTTGGTGGGCGTATCATTGACTTGAACTAAATTGGACTCATTAAAACTTTGAGGTTGTCGTGCTTGTTATTCCAACCAGTATTCGAGTGGATAGAAAGGTCAGCTTTTACGTTTGTCGTAAATATGCATAGGAAATGGCTAAATGAGTATCCATAGCTGTAACGAATTGGATTGTATATTTAACGCTGTTTACCACTTGGCTTTGTACTAATTGAAAATGCGTCATCTACTTCAAGTCATCCATTGGTTGCTTCTGCTGCTCGCTCTGGTGTCACCAAATAACGTCATCAAATGCTATCGTGAGTAGTAATTGTTGTTTTTCATAGCCACACATACCAATACCATCATTACGTTAATCGTTGATCGTGTAACAGATCCTTACTACCGCAACACTGCTACCAACAAATGCGAAAAGTTCAAGGCTATCGCAAGCAAATTGGGTGACTTGCAGCCCACGATCCTCGTAAAAGCTCAATGCGCTGATGGTTTCGTCTGGCAGAAGGCAGTAATGTCATGCGTTTTGCCTTGCTCGAAGAAGGGCTGCAACCATCGTGTGTTGGACACACTGCCTAAACCCGAAAAGCAATGCCCTATTATGCATTATCTGGACTTGCTGACCAAAAAGTGTATAAAAATAGTACCACCTCCTACAATCATTAGAAAGAAGTTTATCTAACATTTTTAAAATATTGTATCGATGATATTTTATGTTTTGAAAAATATCAATATGATATTTAATATGCAACTTTTAAAAAATCGATATATCAATATTTGTCGATTTTTTCTTAAACTTTTTTCCCACAAGAAATTTATGATTGGTCCAAAAAAAGAATAATAAGAATAAATATGTTTTTATTAAAATGATAAAGACCGCATTTTTTCATTAATTTAAGGCACATTTGGCTGTTCTATTTTCAGATTCCGAATAAATAGTTTTCACCATATTCATTTTTTTACTTTTGTGCTTGGTTCACTTATCACAAGAKTGACCAACTCAAATATATAAAAAAAATCGCAAGTATATTTGATATTTGGCCAAAAAATAATCCCGATACAAATATATTTTTAAACAACAAATATCGATATATTGATATTTCGATATATTTTCGACAGCCCTAATTAAAAGTTTATCAAAGTTTTTAGTTTTTTTAGAGTCTGGAAAGGCTGACAAAGAAAATTGATTTCTACTTGGGGAATAAAACACAATTCGTGGGAAATAATAACAGGGGAATAATAACTAATACATTAACTTATTTCAAGAACGTTGACACTTTTTAGTTTGTTTACTTTATTATAGTAGATTGCTGCCAAATTCAAAAGCGTTCAGCTTGATTAATTTAGGGAAAAACAGTTTTTT